TTGCCAGGTCGGCGCCTGTGTCCGGGCCAGGTTGCTAGGTCGGCGCCTGTGGTAGGTTGATCCGGTCAGGTCGCGTAGGCCGCGCACAGGTCGCGCGCAGGCCAGCTAGACCGGTGCCCGGGGGGGGACACCAACTTGATAAGTTGTTGCCTGGGTGTTTGCCTAATTGTCACGAGGTGCCATGTGTCGCAATTTCACTGAAAGGCCAAATCTGCCCTCATCAGCACCCACGATGATGATGAATATGAGGAAGAGCTGGAACTGGAAGAGGATCGACCAGAGAAAACAAATATAATTGAAATTTTAATTATCATTTAGGCTCAGTTTGGATGAAGTATAAATACAAATATATAGAGTGCAAAACTATGCATTTTGTATATGTTTGTACTCAGCTAAACTCAAAGTCTAAAATCACAATGCTTGATTTAAATCAGTCGAAAAGGGTATAAGTGTCTTATAAAATAATTATTACATAGTAAATGATATTTATCTATCGGCACTTGTGGGCACTGCCGCGCTTGATAACCTAAACCTAGCTATCACCATTGTGTACACGTAGGCTCACTTGAGACTTCCACACACATATGGAACATTCTTGAAATGTTTCCAATTATTGTGTATGATTTTGCTTCCAATAAAATTAGACTCCTAATTATATATTCTAGATCTATTGCGAACATTCATGTTTAATGGATTATGTTTATGTAATTAAATACAAGTGAGCAATTCAATTCTTTTTATAGACTCCTAATTATATATTCTAGACTCCTAATTATTATGTTAATGTTTTAAAAATCAATTTAGAGGTTAAACCATTTTTGTTCTGCAGGTCATTGTCATCGATTCGACCGTCTAGATTGAACAGACAGATTGTGCCACATCAACAATATATATTGCAAAGATTCATGGTTAATGGATTAATATACGTTTTTTAATTCAGTTTTTATTTTTTAATTTATAAAAAATATTAAAAAATAAGTTTTTAAAGATAATAGAAATTTTGGCACATAAAATTATGACCTTCGAAAATTTACATACACATTTAGTATACAATTTGTTACCTAGTCATTTAGGTCAAACATATCAATAGTCCAATCGTCTAAATTGGACAATTTTTAACCAAGTTAATAGTTTTTTTACCAATATTTGGACTTCATTATAATCAGACTTGGCTAGAATCTTGGTTGGGGTGGCAGTTTGAACATTCAGCCAATCGAATCAACAATGGATTGAAAACACTGCATGAAACCTCACATGGGCCTATACCACAACTGCGTGATATAACCAAATATCAAGATACGTTTAAGTAAAAACCTTCGAGGGAAAACTTCAACAACCTGAGCTGTCAATAGGGCTCTCCCAGCGTTGCAAGTTAGTTCACCCAATAATGCATCTAGCAATATTAGGAGTATGTGAACTAAGGGCAATACTTGCTCCTATCATTCATCCAATCACATTTCAATTTTCAAATCTAAACCTTAAACTCTAAACCCTAATATCATATAATGTTAATTCTAAATATGGGTGTAAATGGATCAAATCAGTCAACATCTGAATTCAAATTTAATTAGAAATTTTGATATCGGAATTCAATTTAATATCCGGTGAATATTAAAATTAATATTTGAATTTAATTATATATATATATATTCAAATATTTAATTATATTCAATTTAACAAATTAATTATTTTAAGTAAATTAATATATAATATGTTGTTTATATAAAACATATAAATTATTTATATGATTTAAATATTATATATAAATAATCTAAAATGTTTAAATATTTTATATATTATATATATGACCTATATAATTGGTTGATTTTAAAAATTTATTGTATCAAATCTGGTCATATCTAAATTCAATTCAATTAGTTAATCCGTATACATGGTATCTGAATTTGATGGAATATGAAATTGAAAATATTGAATTATTCGAATTTAATTCAATAATGTTAGAATCTCAAATTCCAAATTAGATTTTTTGGATACCAAACCACTAATTCTAAACCCTTAAACCTTAAAACCCTAAGGTTGGTATAGCTTACCAACTTGTATTTCTGATGGAAACCTGGGTAAAAGGGAAGAGCAATCCTTTGGACAGTATTCTTATTTTGCACCGTGAGTCATCTTTATTGGGCACATTAGAAAGACCCTTCCAAGTTTCAACCCAGGTCTTCATCATCACCAAGAGAAATAACTAGACCTTGTTCGTCAGTGAGTGTAATGGGAAGATCGCCTCCTACACCTATGTGGAACCATGTTTGGACTACAACCCGAAATCTCCTCCATAGAGGAGCTCCCATGTCACATAAATCAGTTCACTTTGTTTTCATCTCTACAGGTTTTTCTATTTTTCTTCTGCAGTTTTCTTAATCTATGCTGCAACTAAAACAGCATAGAAGAGCATACATGAACTTTGTTGTTGTTTCCCCTTCATCCAACTCTTCATCTTACAGTTACTGTGATTGTGATGTTGCTTTCTCCAATATGCACTTCGGTTGCTCGACAAAATTACTAATCTAATAATACAAGAAATCTGGAACGCACTGAACTCAACAAATAAATTTAGTTTGTGAAAAGGATAGCCAATGGGAGGGTCAGTGGTCCAATGCACATCACAGTCCACTATGGTTGATTTGTGCTTTCCATATGTGCTTTTTGCCAAGCTGTCTTTAGATATTCAGATATTTTTGCGCAACTTCATTCTATTTTGCTCGTTAAAATTTTATTTTTTTACTTAAAAGGACTTCTCCATTTTCTGCTGAGGTCGGAACACTATTTTCTCTTATGCACAAGTGATATCAAAGTGATAATATATAGCTTCTAGTGCCATCCGATGTTACATGTTCATTGGTATTAAAGTAGAAGCTTTAGTTGCCATGCTCATGACTGAAGGTTTTGATTACAGGGTTCAAAGCTTTAAATCTACTAATATAATTTAGCAATTAATGTCTACACAAAATGGTGGATGAGTTAATGAAACTGATACGTGGGCAACAATAACTTGAGCCACATAATTAGTCGATTGGATGTGTATGAAGTATGATTCTGAATACTACTACTACATCTTTAATTTATTCAGCATTTCAGCTGCTGACATCTACTGGCTTACTTATAACTTCACTAAATACATTGCCGGCTGCAAGGAATTGACAACGCCGGCGGCAAGATTTCCCACAAAATTACAGCACCGTAATAGGAAATCCCGAGTGACAAAAATTATACCAGTATGCTGACTAGATTTTGCATGCAGGAAGGGGAGAACCACATAGACAGTCGTTCCCAAAAAAGGCCTCAGCCGAGAACTTCGACGCTGGAATTTGACCGCAGAGATGGTTGTAGCTGACGTTCAGCTTCTGCAACCCAGAAACGCTACTGGGTATCTTTCCAGATATCAGATTTCGAGATAAATCCAAGTATTTTAGCGTTTGCTCCTTGGGAAATATCAAGTTCTCCATATTAAACTTTAACTGATTCCTTGCAGCCCAAAAGCCAACCAAGTAATCGGTGCTGTTTAGCAATCCAACAGGACTGCCGGAGATTTCATTGTCGGAAATATCAATGTAGTCGTAGAAATAAGTCTGCGACGGCTTCCAATCGTCTAATTTGAACTTAAGCCCACACCCTGCGAGCTTGAGCGAGTAGATAATGGAAGACGAAGTTACCCATGTCGGTATTTTGCCTAAATGGAAATGGTTGTAGGAGAGATCGAGCGACTCAATTCCTTTAACGTACATTTCTGGGAAAGGGTCGACAAGATCATTGTGAGATAGGTCGAGATTGAAGATCTTGGTGAGATTACTGAAGCTCTTCGGCACAACACCCGAGAAACCGTTCCAGGAAAGATTAAGCGTGTCCAGCGCTTTGAACCTTCCAAGGAAATCTGGAATCTTTCCGGTGAGTTTGTTGTGATCCAGTTCAAGGTAGATGAGTTGAGGTGCGAGAGCAGAAATAGACGGTGGGATTTCGCCGGAAAATCCGTTGTAGGATAGGCTTAGGATTGCAAGGACAGGGAAAGATGAGAAGAAATCTGGGATTTTTCCAAGGAGAAGACTTCGGTCGAGACGCAGCATGGTCAAGTTCTTGAGTTGGCTGATCCCAAGTGGTATCTGGCCAGAAAAAAGGTTACCCCCAAGATTGAGCTGAGTTAAGTGGGTGAGTTTGGATATGGAAGCCGGAATCGGACCAGAGAACAGATTCCCCTCGAGACTCAGAGCGTCGAGTTGAGAAAGACGGTCGATATTGGCTGGGAGTCGACCGTAAAGCTTGCAGTTTTCGATGTAGACGAAGAGGAGTCTAGGGAGGTTGAAAAGCAGTTTGGGAAACAAGCCGGTGATATTTTGGAGATTGTGAAAGTAAATCCCGTCCAAGTAACGGAGCTTGGACAACGAGGGGGAGATGGAACCGGTGAGATAACTGTTGGGGTTGTCGGTCTGAGCGTACAAGGATAGAGCAGTGACCCGGTTGCCAACCAGGCAAGTGATGCCATTCCATGTGCAGCAGTCGGTACCAGCTTTCCACGAAGTGAGAATACCCGATGGGTCTTCCGTTATACCCGACTTGAAACCTAGTAAGCCGGCTTCATCGTCCGGGTGGCATTTGGCAGCATTGCCGCGTAAGAAGTGGAAGAAGAGAAGCAGCAGCAACAGAGAAGGAGAAGGGAATAAGGCCATTATCCTCTTAAAATGTTCAAAGTCGGGAGGTCACTCAGGCTGGTGTGGTGGAGTGACTGAACCGGGGATCATGGACCCTATAGGCTATGTCCTATATATATAAAGTATTTGGAGTATGGGCGACAATAGAGCAAAGAGAGTTTGATGATGAGCAAGAGCAGCGGGGAGAGGGGGTCTGGTCTTACAAAATGTCCGACTGTGTGCTTGAGATTTTACTTAGAATAATCAAGTCAAGGAGATGTGCATTGATTTGATACTGTGGGTGGGATTGGGAATTGGAAAGACTTATCCACTTGCTGGTGGGATCCACTGAATCAATGGGAGAGAATAGATAAGGAGTTTTTCAACTGTTCAGTCCAACCCTAGAAATCGGTGGAATTGGGAATTGGAAAGACGCTGTTTGACTTATCCACTTGCTGGTGGGATTCACTGAATCAGTGGGAAAGAATAGATAAGGGGTTTTTCAACTGTTCAGTCCAACCCTAGAAATCGGTGGAATGAATGAATGAATAGGAGTGGCAGGTGGCAACGCATCTATTTTTTGTGCGGGGGACAGTCAAGGTTGACGGCCGGCTACTTGTGGGTACTGGGTCAGGGCAACGCCCATTCGAACAATTCCAACAAACTTTTACAGCCCGTATTTTGAGCAATTTGGGTTGAACTCAGCCCAGCCCAACGGAGCAAGGCTCAGTATTCTTTTAAAAGGCTTGTGACGCAAGGCTATGAAAAATACTTGGCCTCAATAGCCTTAGACCCCATCAGCAAGGCGTAGGCCTTGAGTTATTTGAGTCACATGCATCATATGTATATATAGTCACTCTTCATTAGTGCAAGTAACAAAATAGGAATGCCTTCTTCTTATAATAATATTAAAAAGATTGACTAGGAAAAAAAATACTTTGATAAGATTCTAACTTAAATTATGTTGTATATTTAGGGTAGCAATACCCCTTTTTAAGGTATTTTTAAAAATTAAATAACATAAAACTAACTTTGTAAAATTAAAAGAAAAAAACTAAAAAATTATGCATGGTTCAACGTGTCAATAATCAATACATTCCTTTCAACATATTGGGGTGTATAGATACTTTGAACCATGAATGCATGTCTAATATATCATACAAGCTATAAAAGATCCTAATTTTATGTTTTCATGTCTTTATTGGTTATGGATTATATCTTTTTCTTTTTTGCTCAAGGCCTATGCCTCAAAATGCCTTCAGGCTTGCCTAGCCTTTGCCTTTAGTCTTTTAAAACCTTTAGTTGGAGTTCACTTTTTTTCTCGAATTCACTTCTAGTCTTATAAAAAAATCACTTTTGTTATGACATAATCTTAGCATATGGCTAAAACTGAACATCATAACCTTACATGCATTGTTGTGGCACAATAGAATATCATTTCATCTAAATTCAAAGCTGGGCCACGTTAATACATCCTAAAACCATGGTTTTCAAAACCAGACCGGACCGAACGGTCAGACCAAAAAAATTGGGAACTGGTCAGGTAACCGGTTCTGTTTTCCCCAAAATCAGATTTTTCCCAAAACTATTGATTTTGATCAGCAAATCGCTGACCCAGGTGGTTAGCCGTTCAAACGGTTTTGACCATTTTTTTTATTTTTTATTTTGTTAGAACGGGCCAACCGTTCGACCCAGGAACTAGACCCCTAACCAATTCGTTCTTTGAGTCAATTTTAAAAACCTTACTTAAAACAATGTGGTAACAAAAGTGGTTTGATTGGGTTGAGTAGAACTTCATGGGGCTCTTTATTTTTTTTTTTTATAGATCGAAGGGGGCTATTCAAGGGGATAGCACTTATCCAAGCGTCACAAAAACAAATATATCCAAGATCACTAGATAACTCAGCTAAGGAGAAATCGACGATCAACCATAGAAATATGAAAAACAGGCAACTTCTATGCAGATGCAGCCCAAGCTTCAACAAGATTGATAGAAGTAACTTAAAAGGTTTGCATTGTACCGGAGATCGATCGGATTGCGCATACATTCATTAATGAATAGCTTAGATTGGAGGCCAGATTGATTGGAGACAAAATCAAGCACAAGAAGCTGGGCTACCTATCACGAGGGCGTGTTCACTTGTGCCCGGTGTGTATGATCTTCAGCTCATCAAATTCCCTTAGATTGCTAGGTCCAAAATGCAAGTTTAGCCCCTTGTTCTTACCACTGAAGTGTGTTTTCAGTATCATGGTCCGATTCTAAAAGATCCGGATGTTGCACCGTATAATGTAGATACTTGCCTTGATTTGTCAAAATGTTTTAGTTTTTAATCCAATCAAAACATTTGAGCAAGTACAGCAAAAATAAAATCTAAATCTAAAGTTGTCTGGGCCAATAAAAGGTAGAAACCTATATAGGGGTATAAACGGATTGAATTCGAATTGAATCAGGCAATATCCGAATTCGAATTCGATTAGAAAATTCGATATCTGGCAGATATTGAAAATTATATTCTAATTCAAATTTGACCAATTAATTATCTTAGGTAATTAATAAATATATAAAATAAACATTTTATTTATATAAAGTATATAAATATATAAATTATTTATATAATTTAATTGTTCACTATATAAACTATATAATTTTACTTATTATATATAAGAATTAAATAATTGATCGAATTCGGAACCTAAATAAGAATCAAATCCGATTAGATATTTGAATTATCCAAATTCAATTTGATTATCTCAAATCTCGGATTCGAAATCAAATTTTCAAATACTGTGCACACCCCTAAACCTATAGTCCCTTCCTTTCCCTACCTTTTTTCTTTCAAACCAAACGTAACCTAAATGTTTTAATAATCTTTACCCTTTTTTATCTTTTTCTAGTGCCTTGAGATAAAAAGGGAAATCTGAATCTAAGAATTATCCCTTATCCTTTGATGGTGCACAATCCGGCCGATCTTAGCTGTCAACGATCTTGCCTCTGAACCGGGTGGCAGGGACCTGAAACGGAGGGAGAAGAGAAGCTCCGGGGAGAACCCAGCGTAAGGGCTCCGAAGCTCAAGTTAGAGTCTTTCAAAGGCAAGATAGACCAGATAGCGCAAAAGTTA